CCTGGTAAGAAGATGGTTTATCCATATGTAAGTGCACATTCTACTTGTGACTCAAAATAAATCTAGTCTTGTCATTTGTTTTTTTTTTTTCATCAAGGCAATGAGAAGCAGTAGTTTAGATTATTTCCGTCCACCTTGTTCTTGGTCAGTTACAATCTTGAGAAGAATCCACAAGAAATAAAAGATCTGCGACTAATGCAGGAAATTAAGACTGCAACTCGAAAAGAAACTCTAGCAAAACGAGGACAAAACGCGTTTCTGATTTACACACATCCACTTTCCCATATAGTGCTCAACAAGAAGCAAGTCAGAGTGTCTTCAACACTGGTCAACTCAGCACCGCTCATTTCATTACTTTGCAATATCTTCGACAGCAAGTGTGTCACAAGATAAAGATGTCGTTATATTTTATGTTTTTACTGTAGACTATAAAAGCATTTATATGTCAACTAGGGCATGGTCCTAGTTTGCAAAAAAAGTGTTTCAATCAATTATGGTTCAAGATGCCATGAAAGATGTCTTTTAATTCTTCTTGGGGAATGCAGATGCCCATGATATTTGCATTCAAGAATAAAATGTTCCTTATCCTACTATTTTTTACTGTGGAAGAAAAGGAAGTGTCATATCGTAAGATACGCAAACTGTGTGCATGCATAATGGAGCAGCTGGGGTACTGCAGGCATTTCTGAAATAATTTAGCGGGTTTTAGAGCTTCTAACTTGGAAAAAAAAGATTTCCACTAATGCTCTACTTGACCTGTTCACATTTGTCAGCAACAGAAAATTCAAAGCATCATTAAATACATTTTGAATCCCAAATTTTAAAAGGTTATTGGAAATAGTCAATATAAGGGTGGTTGCTGAGTTTTTCTTAATTACATTTATTTACCCAGTAAAAAGGTATTGCTCAGATTCTTAAACAGAATTGTTATTTAAATGTCCAATATTTCTTTTTTGTGCAACATTCTGCTGAAATGACGGTTTAAACAAAGCAGGTCATGTGCAGTTCACAGGTTAGGTTTACAATTAGCACTAAAGTTTGGCTAAACTAATTATTTTCGTTGGTTCTTAATGCAAAGAACAAGAGGTTTGAGCATATGGAAAGTCTGTTTTCAAACTTTGGATTTTTGACAATTTTAGACAGGCGGTTTAGCAAAAACTGCAACATTGGGCAAATTTTCTTTCTCAAGGAAACAATGAAACAACACTTTTCCTGGAACATGTACCAAAAACTGTTTTGAAAAAGTTACCCTAATGACTAATTTTTAGTCAGAAATATTTGAAGTAACAGTTGTAAGTATTTTAATGTATCTGAAGGGAATGTGCTTTAAACAATGATGGATGAGTTGAAGTCTTGTTGGAGTTTTGTAATCAGCAAGGCCAAAGGAACCTGCCATTGATTTGCTTTTATGCCTGTTTGAAGGTCTGTTCTGTGGTCCAACACTAGGACCTGTTTACTAGGGGTGCAGGTGCTAGTTGTAAAATCTGAGATTACCTTCATGGCTCAGATACTGCTATCTGGGAAGCATGACTCCTTATTGATCGGAATACCATGTCTCAGAATTTACTGATGAGTTTATTTAGAAACGTGCTGTGTGGATTACTGTGCAAATCAGAGTCAAGCAGAACTGGTGAGAAAGCATCTACATAAGATTTAAATGCTCTCTTAGCAAATTAAACAATCTGGGTTGAATAGACTAAGAGATTCCAGTAATAAAACAGTGTGAGAATTGAAAAATAAAATTTGAATATGAACATTATTCCTGAGCTACATCCAGAAGGCTTAGTCAGAATGATGGACATGTGATACATACCCGCCCACATTGTTAATGTTAAAATTTGCAAGAGCAAACAACTTTACCATCTGTTCTTAAGCATTAAGCTGGCTTCTGGCATTCCTGACAAGGGTAAGGATTACAATTACTTTCATAAAAAGTAATAACAATGGGGAAAAATTAAAAGAGAAAGTCAGTACAAACACTAGATGATCTAGAAAAATATCAGAATATTTTTTACCACAAATTCTTGGAAAGGGCTTGAATTTCGAGGTTAACCGCGCAACTGAGAGATTAATATGTCACATGAAACAGCTTTCAGCATTACACAATTTTTTTTAAGCGATGAGATGTGAGAAGAATGGCTACAAAGTAATTCAAACAACTAAGGACCTGGCAGTCAAGATTCTGAAAGCAGCTAACAGGAGACCTCATTTATGCATCTTATTTACTGTCCATTACAAAACTGACATTTACTGGCTACAATCTGTGTTACACCAATTTAAATCTGACTTGTTTGAGAGTAATGGATATGTGTTCAATTTGTGGAAAAGTCAACATAAACAAAAAATGAAAGGCATGTCGATACATTAATCGATATTAAAAATGTTTACAAAATCCAGTTTCACCGAGGTAAAAGAAATCACCAAATCTTTTTGCCAGTTTTTTAAAAACTTGCTTTTGCTTCATTTGTATTTCCTACTGTGTCCCACTGCTTAGGATGGGTGGTCGAAGAACCCAGTACCCTTTTTGACAATTGGGCATTTTGGGTACATTTGAGATGTACCTAGCCCATATTTCCTTTTTGTCCTGAAAAAGATGGCCTACATAGGAAAATATATTGTATGTTAAAGACAACTAAGGGCTATTTACTAAGGGCTTTCCTCTGGCCTGCAAGCCATATTTGATCTTAACAGCCCTGATCTGGAATGAGAAAGAGCTGTTTAAGTTGAAAAGAAATGAACACGCTCAATGAGCTAGAGAATCTCTCACAAATCAGTGTCTGAAAGCTGTGGGCAGGAAGTGAAAAAGATCACAGGAAGAGAAAAGACTTGGGGCCTACACCAATGGTTCGATGATGTCTTTTTAGAATCACTAGGGACAATTTCATGCATGATGGCCATTTGAAGTGTAGGAAGAGTCATGTTAAAAAGAAACATGTTTTCAGATTAGAAAGAAATAACCACAGCTGTGTAAATCTATAGGGGATATGACTGAGTACAAATATTAAACCACCACTGATCCGCATATAAGCCTACTTTGTTTGAAATAGAATAGAATATATATAAATCTGGAACAGAGTATATATAAATTCAAAGATAAAATGTATCAGAATGCAGAACTGCTTTTAAAATACAAATTTCCTATGTCCAAATTGTAGAATCCAAATTATTTATCAGTTATTACTTTTTGGGTGAAAGAAGATGTCATGTATACAGAATATTAACAATGTGCATACTTGCCACTGCATACCCTTCGGTGTATTCGGAAATTTTCTGTGAGATTTCATTTTACTTTTAAATTCATTTTAAATTTAAAAGTAAAATGAAATCTCACAGAAAATAAATGTAAACAAAAATAAGTGTTTAACAATTTTCAGCCCTTTTTAATACAAATGTGAAACCAAAACCTCTGTTGACACAACAAATACTGTACAATACCTCCCCCTAGGAATGTTGAATGGCCATGACATTATAATAATGTTTTTTTGACAAATTTGTGATGAAACATATGCTCCTGCAAATAATAATAAGTTTACCCACTCCCATCAATAGTAAATATTTGTCTGTGAAGAAAAGACACCTTTGTCTTAAAATAGATGAGGTAAATTCTGTACAATGTGCTATATACAGTATGTGTTGAAGGTATTATAGTGACTAATTGCCTTTCAGTATAACGGTTTAAGCTTTGTTTTTACTTTTCAGAGCTTTTTTATTTCTAATAACAGGCTGAGTGTATTTATATTTTAAACAGGACATTAGTAATGCAGAAATGCATTCCAAAGAATAACAAAATGGCATAATCTGTGGCTGATTCGAAAGAACGTCTGTAGGTATCATATCTAGAGAGAAAAAAACAACTTACAAAGGACTGCAGTACTATACCAAGTTAAAGTAAACAAGCATATTGTACATTAAAATCTCCATCCCTACCCTCATTCTTCAAATCACAAATAATGAAGAATACACAATAAAAAATAGTGTTTGCATACAGTAGCCTTTTTCATAGCTGGACACAGACATCCTATTGGCTTGTTTTCAAAAAGTAGGCTAAAGTTCACATCTGCAACAACATCCCAGTTCTATATTTGCAGAAGCTACATATATAATAGGGGAAGTTGCAAAAACGTAAAATATATAAAGGCAAAGAGCTAGAACTGATCTTTACAACATACTTGTAAGACCACATCTAGAATAGTGTTTTGCTTATGTCGCCAGAACAGAAAAAGGATATTATATCCGTAGGCGTTCAAAGAGAAGAGGAATAACAGCCTGTCTCAGATTTTTTTTACAGTTTAAAACAAAGCAAATTTACAGCAGAGTTGATCCAAGTATGTATATACAGTATATATAAATATAAACAGTATGAACATAGTAATTCCAGGACATGGGGACACAACTGGCAACTTAAAAGCAATTAATTTAGGTTGGAGAATAGAAGGTGTCTGTACACTTGTGGTTGTTTGCATCATGCTTGCCAGAGAGGTTGTTAAGGCCTGGATTCTAGGATGTTTTAAGAAACAAGTTAACAAAATATTAAATATTGATATAACAAGTCTTTCATTTTGGGAACTGTCAATGGTTACATTTATTTTCTGTCTAAATACATACTTTAGTACTCCAGAAAATATCATGTTACCACACAGCAAACCATAAGTATCATAAATCATAAGTATTTGATTGTATGGAAATCCATGATTTCTAATAGCTGAGAATGTACAGAATTCACTTATATATAAAAATGCATATGTATGGATATGCATAGATGTAATTGGTACTGTATATGTATTCATTTCCTGATTTATGTTTAGACTTTGCAAATTTGAGTTTTCTGCCATCTACTGGCACATCCTGGTGTGCTTACACTTCAGGGGTCTACTGTAATGAATAAACTGCTGTAGCTCAACCACTTTTTAACACAAGATACTTCAACTGACTTTACAAAAATTAAGGATTTCAAATCTGCCGACACACATTAAAAGCTAAAGATTACACACCCAGACAAGTTTAAGTGATTTTTCAAGATTTAATATTTTGAAACATTGGGTTTGAAAAAGTACAAAAGTGAAACCGTACATCATGTGCAAGTACAGTTTTCCTTTAAGTCCAGAGCTGTAAAAAGTGAAATACATGTGTCTTTAAAAGCATATTCTAGATATATTAATAGCCTTACATATACTTACTAGAAACCGTACAAGTGACAAGTTTAAAATACACAAAGGCCTTGACTGTCCAAAGTAATTTTACATTTGATTTGAAATCTTTCTAAAAGTACGATACAGTACATGAGAGCACCTAACCCCTCACAGCTGTGTCATGCAATATATGATTTTTTTTCCCACAAGAATGTAAAATGTCACGCCAAACATCCACTGTGCTGTGAGGGACGGGTGGAATTTTTCAAGTTATAAAATCGGTTACAAAAAATTAAAAAAAATAAAAAGCCCATCTTAAAAGAGTTCCAAACTTTTAATTAAAAAAAAAACTGTTAACAGACACCCGGCCTGAATGATATACAACATCCTCCACTCTCTCCTTTGACAGACATCACTTTGATGCCCACCAATAAGAATACATGAAGGTTTTCTACTACATAGGGCTGGAATTCTGAAGCATGTCCCTGGCTTCATTGCTTCATCAGTGAAGTAGAAGCAAATTATACATTTACACACAGTTCATAGTCACAAATAAGGTGAGATGTTAGCTCTATACTGTATACATGTTCAAATGTGCACTGTCCCGAGGAGAAAGTTTCAAATAATTAGATTTATTAAAAAATAATATTTATGCATTTACACCCACATTTAAAAAATGAAAGTTTCTGCTATTTTAAGATGCAAAATTGGAATAACTTAAAAATGTTGCAGGAAAATGTCCATAATTTGCAATAGTCCTGCAACATACTTTATACATTACCCAGTGCCTCATGAAAAACTGACAGCCTAAATTTTGTTTGCTTGCATTATTGGAGTGATAAGATTCTGAATGTTAAACATTTCTAATATCACAACCGTCAACACGTCTGAAGTCTGTACTTACAAGTCATAATCAAGATAGCTTGCTTGCTCAGAAAAATGCATTTTTTAATCAACCTCACTAAGTCAGATTTTATGTAAGAAACTGAACCTCTGTAATTGTAGATATTTGGATAATCTTTTTTATAAGAGCAGATTGTACAAATCTCTTAGAATGAACAAAAAAACACTTCATACTGGTTCACCAAAATGGAGGCAACTGAACATGAAAACTGTCACAGTCACAATTCAAGTAGTTTTGTTCTTAAAAGCTGGTTTTATTGCCATAGTGTTTTTCTGTCCAGAAAATAAAAGGATTTTTACATTGCCTAAAACTGTCCTATGTGTGCAGGTGTAATAGTCAGATCTTTACTGTGATCCTGAAGGAGGAAGAAAAAAATCAGTTCAATTTCAGGTCTTCACAGTGTTAGAGGGGACAACTTTACACTCTTTTATGTGAGGTCTTTGTATTTTCATATTCAAGGAGACAGCAGTGTGCTCCCAGTCTTCTCAAATTTTTTACCTTTTGAGAGAGCAGCAACTTGTTTAAGCAATTCTCGATTCTTTGCCTGTAATGGAAGTAAAAACAAAAATTGCAAATATTATTGAAAATGTTTTTTTTCTAATTAAGAAGCATATTAGATATTTAATTTTTCAATGCATTTTAAGTGTGTGAGAAGAAGATAGTCTTACTGAAAAGGGGCTAGTGATAGTGAAAACCCTACTTGTCTGCTCTGATCAATTATTTCTACATACCCCTCTGTAAGAGGTTCCAACTTTGTAGCCAGATCTCATCAGATCTCAAAAACTGAGCAAGGCTGGGCCTGGTCAATACAGGCATGGGAAACCCAGGCTGCTGCTGCAAGCTGTGTTTTTGGACCAGTGGATTCAGTACAACACCATGGTCTAGTTGCGTCACTGTTCAGACAAGCCATTAAACTGAGGTCATTCCAGGGTTATTTAATAGCTCATAGCCCTGCTTGTATGGATACTAGCCCTGGTGTTTTGGCTAAATATCATTTTCCCCTTAATTGAACTGCTAAGGCAATTTACTTACTTATCCTCCTGATCTGCTGTCTAGTGGGGCAGAATGGCTCCCATGTGTTACCCATGTGGGTGCTGCACTTCAGAGATGGATGAAGTGGGTGTCTTCTATGTGTATATGGTTTTGGTAAGAAATAGGCTATATAAATGGAATGATTATTAATAGTATTACTATTAGAAATCCCTACCTGCTGCTGTTCCATGGCTTCTTTATGTGCTTTTTCCATGTTGTTCATCTTTGCTCTCATATTAGACTCCTGATACTGAAAATCAGCTTTAAGTTCAGTAAGCTGGGGGAACCAAAACAAATCACTGAGGAAACACCTTATCACAATGATTAAGTTGCTTGTATGGAGACAAATGTCTACATCAATCACGCATAAATCTAGTGCAGAGAAGCATTAAATGAATTGGGTATATAGTGAAAAGTTAAATTGTACAATACATGGGAAAGCTTCCACTTACAATTGTGCCCAATAATGGGCACCCTTTGGTTACAATTTCAGAATGATTTCAAAGGGGGGAAATTATTATTTCCTGTCCTAAAAAGGTCTTACATAGATTCAAGGAACAGAATCAAGCACAAAATACAGAAAGAGTACTTGTTACAAGTATGTAATCACATGAAAGGTGCTGGTAACTGAAGACTACATCAGGGGTAATGCATATGAAACAAAAACAAACACAGAGGGATGAGCTGGAAACTAAGATTATATGCAGTGTGAAAATATCTGCCACATCTTTCTATAAAGAGTCAATGGTATCAGGGAAAAACTGCTTAACAATGTTATTAAAACAATCTTAATAGAATCATTCAAGAAATAGCTGGAAGAGATATTGCATAATTGACTTAGAAACCATAGAAGTAAAGTAGACTAAATGGCCTCGTATATTCTTCAAGACAAATTTAACTTTGAGGCAATATGGCACAATGTGCTTACAAATTTAGCACTGTATTAAAATGCATGTGGTACACCCACAAACTTAACAGTGTTAAAATATTTAGCTAAGAGTAACACGTATTTTACCTTTTTATCCTTTTCCAATATTGTTTGATCTCTTTGTTGTAGTAGTCTTTTCAGGGACATCACTTCCTCCTTCAGCTGGCTGATGAGAATAAAATTATCTGTTCCTCCAGAGTCCAGGGACTGGTTAATGGAACTACTAAAAACAAGTGGGAAGTAAAAAAAAAAAGAAATACATAGTCAAAACATTTATTTTCACAATATCACGTTTGACAGAGCTTTATTTGGGAAAAACAGCTGGTTCAAATCCTTTTGCTTGGATGGGTTTTCCCAATTCACAACATGCATCTCTAATTTTTCAAACAGATTTGTTAACAGAATCATGCTTTCTCATAGGACATGTATTTGAACCTCTTGGGAAACTGTCTCTTTTTCACGATAAATCATAGATCTATTCCAAATAAAATATCCAAACAATGAGTGGCAGTTACTAACAAAGCAGGAAATAAATGTGCGCACTGATCTTGGAAATGCAGAAAACAAACCTGTCTCCATTAGATGGCTTTGTTTCTAGTTTTGGTTTCTTCTTTGGAGTTTCATTCTGGATTGAAGATGATTTATGGCTGTGAAAAAAGTAACAAAAGTTAATATTCCCTAGCGTTTGCAGTATAACACTTACTGGATAATTTATATTACAATATTACATACCTCTGTTTCCAAAGTCCCTGGTCCTGCTCTGGGCTGAGGCTGCTCAGTCTAGTACAGGAGCACACAAATTACATTTTTCATGTTTAAGGTGGATGCAGGCACTACAGTACATTTACATCACTTTCTTCTAGACGTTTTTTAACACCCCTGACCCACAAAGTTACATGACACTAACCATGAAAAACATCACCTGCAAGAGGCAATGCAACTGTAAAAACATGGTGTTTTGCAACTAAACTCGTGACATTTTTTTGTTCTGTATGAACACAGCATCACATATTTTTACCATGCATGCCACATAAAAGTGACAAGAGGAAAAAATCCATAAGGTTCTTTTGACTTGTCCTATTTTTGAACACACCATTTCGGACAAACTACAATGTTTTTCGAATTAGTTAACTTTTTGGATAGCAGGAGATCTGCAATCGGCATGTTGACGTACAGCAACCGGTTTGTCACAATGAATTGCCCAGTTAGATTTAGTGTCAATCTGTGTACAGGCTGCAGACTGTTTTCAAGCAAGACAATAAGAAAACCTCTAGCTAGCTGCATACTTGTGGGAGCTGCTGTGCCGATGGTGATGGTGGTGGTGATGATGATGGTGTCTGGAATGGTGCTGGTCCTTCTCCGTCAGGGAGGACGAGTTGGAGTGTGAGGAGCTCAGCCCTTTCCTTTGCTCCTTGGTTTTCTGCAGTACACGTCGGTATGACAGGGTGCATAGCCAGCACAGCAGCTTTCCATCCACCTGTAGAACGTATAGTCATGAGTGCAACGCCCTTCAGGGACACCATTAAAGAGAAATCAAGAAATAAATATGTAAGTTGAGAAATGTGGCAAGAAATACAAAAAATGATGACAAAAAAAGGTCCTGTCATCTACTGAAATGCCAACACCTGAGCAATATAGTTACAAATCTCAAATGTTCTCCAAACACATCTATGCAAATTAAGTCAGGTTAAACAAAAAAATAATCTTAAATGTACATTTTAAAAGGCAATTTTCTTGTTTAAATCACATACATTTAATCCATAAAACATTTAAGAATGAATACTTTCTGAAACAAAATCATAAGGGTATTGCCAGACATATTCCACACAATAGCAATCCTAATAAGAGCTTCAATATATAATCAAGAAGGAGGTGATGCTCTTTGATCACGGAACCACATGTGTAAAACAGGCTAAAATACCTCTTCTCAATTGCAGCAAATCTTTAGTAAGTATGAAAATAACTGCCTGAAATATATGTGAACTACAGTAGCTTCTAGTCTTTTGCAGATTTCTCTTATGAAAGAATCGATTTAAAACAAAGTCAAGAAAAGACTAAAACACACATTTAGTAAGTTAAGGAACTAATATCCTGATTGGAAAAACTCTACCTAATGCACTATTAACACTCATAACAAACTCAAAACGTACTTTGCTATTTGTCCATTCTGATATTTAAAACCTGAATGTAAAGTATAGCGCTCTGCATGAGAAAAGCAAACCAGCCATTTGTTTACCAGGATGTCTTCTTTTACACCAGATTTTAATAAAGCATATTTGAAGTTATAGGATGGTTAAAATTTAAGAGATTCCAGTGTAATTAAGATCTATCAGCAACAGATGGCACAATCAAATAACAGGCCCTTCCAAGAATCTAAGAAACTCATGATCTTACTCTTTTCATTCAATGGAACATGCCAAAAATAGGCACATATTACTTCTTGTTTAGCAGGATTATCAGGACATTTTTATAATGTACTAATGTGAATATTAACACAAAACATGCCTGAGACTTCAGACCATATTGTGGTTTAAGATAATGCAGAGTACTTATTAACTACATAAGTACATCTAAGAGAACTCTGGGGTGTGTGAAGAGAGGAGAACTTTAAACATATTTCCTGCACAACAATCAAAAACATCCAGCCAAGCTGCCAAAGCTCACCTGAAAGATAATTTTGTGGAGAGGAATTCAATTGAGAAATTACTGGAAACTGGGTCCCTTAGTTTTGACAACATTACCCATTTTCCACCTAGATAAAACAATCTCGTTTGAAGTTGATAACAGAATTTATAGAGCAGAAGATGATCAACTGACAAAACATTCATAAATTACTTCATTACCCTTTATCTAAGTTTAAAAAATTAAGCCGTGGCTGAGATCCCATGGAAACTTGAGTCAATGAAAGTGAATGCACTTTCAAAATAAAAAAAATATTTTAAGAAACCCGAGAAGAAACTATAGTGGACTGAACAAAAGGGAAAATACACAATTATTTTTAAGGGAAAAAAAAACAGATTAAAAGATTAAGAATAAAACACATGAGCATAAAAACAAAACATATTAAAAGATGTACACAAAAATGAGGGAGTAAATCTGAAACTACACCACAGCTGTTTCCACCTAAATACACATGGTGAGAAGGAGGCAATGTGAATGAGTTGTGTTGTAATCTGAGATGGAGATTAAGACCACTTCTACTTTAACTGCCAGAACAACATGGACATAAAATGCACTGTTCTCAGTGCATAAGAAAAGGCTGATCTGGTGTTCCAGGACCTGTGAAAGCACAAAGTGTTAAGTAATACCAATCCATTCCAATACCTTTCTCCTGCCTTCCTCTTTGCGATCAAAGGCACACTGCTGCTTGCACTGTTCACATGTCTGTGGAGGGCCATACTTCTTTTCTGAGTTTGTGCAACGTTGACACTTGGTTCCAATGAAGGCTGCAATTATGTTACAGTACTGACAAGGTTTGGGCTGGAACACAAAGAGATTAAAAACAATACACACATGTAGACTGAGAACAACATTGATTAAGGAAATTATTATGAATATAAATACATAAGATGTCCTTTAGTTACTTAATACATAATTTTTCGGGAATTGTGCAGTGTATCAGACAACATTGAAGAGCAGATTTCTTTTATACTGAATCATCAAAAACACTTACCGTCCCGAACTGTTTCACGTTCTGCGCACACTTTTTACAAATTGTGTTTGTTTTGCTGCAGAAAAAAAAATTAAAATGTACATATACATTACAGCTGCATTTAAATCACAAACATCTGTCAAAGTACAACCAGTAACATATGGTAACGTGCTTACATGCATTGAACAAATATGGAGAGAGGCTGGTTTCAGCCAGGTGTGCAGGATAATCTATAACTCAAAACTAGAATACAAATGGATGCTTCCTGCACTACCACCCCCTCAATCAAAACAAAAGGAATAAAAAGCAGTGACCCTTAGGGGTTCAAAAGTTCAGTCCTGGAGCAAGGTAATCCAGCATGTTTTATAGGCCTCTCTGGAATGGCAGTGCCTTACTAAGAGGACTTCAAATAACTATCAGTTGAACTGGACAGGCAAAAGCCCTGGTAGATTAAAAACTAAATACACTGTGGCCTCCCATTATGGAAATAGACACCCTGGGTGCAAATGTGTTACTATCTACACTGATTATTGGGAAAACACGTCTTAACTTTTTTACAGCGTAGTACTGAAACACAGCTGTGCCAAAGTTATGGCCTTTGAAAGGAAAAGCATTGAGCATTGAGCACAGCTGCACAGTAACTATACACACGCAGTACTGTGCCTGTCTTGTAACATATCTATTGTTTCCTTTTGTACCTGTATGTAATGTAAAACTTTGTACACACCGAGAGGTCCCCAGGACGGGCAACTTTTAAACAAATATTTGTCCTATATCAGTATGTACATTAACCAAATAGTCGTTATGTGAAGTCTCTCTTTCAAGAGCTACTGCAAGAAAAGAGACCTGGTTTTTCTGCTTTTAATTCAAGCCATGCATATTTGTATACCAAAGGTACCTTGCAGAATGCCACATAGGCCCATCCTTAGGAACACTCATGCAAGCAGTAAGAAGAGAAGTGGGTATCTTTTACAACGGTGTCTCACCTCTCCTGCTGAAACTCCGACCTGCAGTAAGTGCATTTCACAATTGGATGTGCTATCCGGCACTCCTACAAATTAACAAACACATATACATTCAAATGGGCAATACAATTATTTCAGTATAGACCTAAATGTTTTACTTAGTTCTATACATTTATTTTAGATTAGGCTAGATCAAAGAGTGGCACAGTGGCAGAGTAGTTAGTATTGTTAAATGGTTTCTGGGAAAACTGGCCCTGGTGTGAATGCGTGTGTCTGCCCGGAGATGGCCTTGCGCCCTGTACTTGCCAAAATAGGCCCCAGTTCCCCACTCGACCCTGAATTGGAAGAGAAGGTTAGAAAATGGATGGATGAATAGACCAGATCAGGGGTGTCCAGTCTTGGTCCTGACGGGCTGCGGTGACTTCATGTTTTGAAAGAGCTAGTTAAAGACCTAACGTTAAGAGCTGTTAGAAACTGTTACATTGGTGCTGTTAAAGCCAGCAACCAGCTCATTTACCTTTTTAATTCCAGGACTAGGACTGAACCTCCCTGGACCAGACCAAAGGGTCAATTTCGCAATTGTTGCTTGATTTTTCATTAAAGGGAGAATTACAAAACAGACAATTCGATGCATGTTTCCCCTCATAATAAACATGTTAGCTTTTTTATGCTCCCCACGCGTTAATTTGTCGAACAAATCTACTTGCAATCCTTCACATGAAACAAATGGTAGAGAACAGTACACGGAAACTCAGTTTAAGCACAAATACTATTCATGATTACCGCACAATTCCTTTTGTGGTCCCCCACAAACGCAGATGCACGTTTAATTTCCCCCGCCGTGAAATTAATAATTAACAATCACAAATTATCACTTAAAATTTAAGATCATCCAGCGGCTTTTCTCCTCCGGTTATCTGGTTAAATAGCGCAGTGTTCGCAGCGCTCTGCAAGGCAGTAGGGTGACTGGAAACATTATAACTTTATTTTTGATTTTAAGGGCAGTATTTTGCTAACTCACTCGCAGAGGGGGCATTTGTCCATTACACGAACAGCGACCACCTTCAAGAGATGCATTTTAACCCACGGTTCACGTTTTTCCTCGTTAAATAAAAGTTGGGAAAAGTAACCCAATCGCAATTTCCAAGGTTAACCCCCCTCAAAAAAAATGGCTAATCAGCAATGTTTTCGTGAATCTGTTTATGCCGGGGGAAAGCAACCCTAAGACTGGAAAGCAAGGCTCGTTAAAACCTAGTGCATTTTATTCCTGCCTCCGTAAACCATACGTGGGCTCTCTCCTCTTGGCTCATTGTTCGCTGTTCGTGGTACAAGGCCGCCTTTATGGATTCGCTAAATGTCTTGCAAGCATTGCAGAATTACCTACAGTGCACAATTATCTTATATAATCTTGACCATGCCATAATGATGGAAACAACCGCTAGCACAATCGCAGCGGAAACGGAGCTGCCCCTTGCCGTGGTGAACGCAAGTTCTCTTGCACACAAGCGTCAGGAGACACTCGGGTGTTCACGGGGAATGCGGGGACAGAACATTTTCAAACCTTGCACAGCTGTTGTCCTTGCGAAAGCTCTTCAAAGGGGTACCGCTGGTTACACTTCGTACACGCGTACAGGGCCGTAGTAGCCATTCTTAAAGAAACAAAAAGGCAAAAAAAATGTAGCTAGCTATATATTTTTAAAGGGGAAAAAGTGTTCTAAAAAAATCGCGTCCTCTTTAAAGTTTTTAAAGGCGACAGTTTTACATAGGGATGATTTTTTCTATTACAAATATCCAGTGTACAAAAAAAAATAAAGGGAGTTTTATGCTCTTCCCAGCTTTTTCATTTTTTCTTTTTTCTTTTTTTTTGTTTCCGCGGCGTCACTCGGACCGGATGCTACTCACGACTACAAAGGAAGGGCAGCCCAGCCAATCGCTGTCACCCCCCTGTGGGCGGGAATCTAGGTTTTGAATGGCTGCAGCCAATGGGAGCTCGCGGTGGACTCCCCTTTAAAAGACGAGACGCCCTGCTTGCGCGATGGTTTTGTTAGTCATGTAGAGGAGGGGTTTGGGAGGCTTGCTGCTGCTTTTAGGATGAACTTCTCGCGTTCAGTTCGATTTCGGCGCTTCCTCAGTTTAGCATACGAAATAGCAAATAAATGTCTCAGAGGGCAGAGTACCCGGCCGATGGTTTTTAAAATATCCCATGTTAAAAGAAGGCAAGCAATAAGCGTTCTTTCCTGCCACAGTTGCTGATTTTGGTTGGGTCTACGTGGGTCAGGCTTAATCTGGTTGATCAAATTTCTAACCTGGAAAATCAAAATAACTCTTTAGTTCAATAGATTGTCAACCGTATGAAATATTTTTTACCGTGTTTGTGAGATGGTTTGGCGATACCTATGATGCATGATTTTGCCATATGTATATACATTTGGTATTGCAAATGTACGCTTATTTTTTTAACTAAGACACGGATAAACGTTTTATATGGGATTCTTAAAGACAATTTCATAATGGCTTTTAATTTTATTTTCTCTTTCTTGGTTGTTTAGAGGTCATGGAGCAAACGTGGAATTTCAAGTAAATTTTCCCAACCAGCAATGTCCCTTGTGTTATTAATCTAGGGAAATAACCTAGATAAATATGTACCCCCCAAATACACAAAATCTAATCATATAGGTTATTGTTTTTGTATAAACCAATAAATTGTTCATACTTAAAAATAGACTTAACCTTGAACGTACAGTAATAGAATGTAACTGTACTTCAGCCTAAAGACCATTGTTTTGCTCACCACGCCCCGCTTGTGACGTGTCGCGTTGCCCAGACACGCCCTTTTACGCGCTAGAGTACTGCTTCCTGTGTATTAGTGGTGCGGGTGTTTGCTGTGTTCGCTTGAAAAAAAGCGGCTCTAGGGAACATATCATTTAAAACAAAATGCACATTTAATGGCGACACAAACGACAGTAGCAGCTGGAGTTCCCGGCGCACCAGAAACGGTATGATGAAGATGTATCTTCTAAATATACTTACTATACTTCAAAAATGAAACACAGGATGCAGTTCTACACCAATGTTGTATTATGTTCATAAATGTTTTTAACAGTTTCCTGTATTGCGGAATATGAAATATATAATTACCACAACTTTGTTATAATATGAAAATATGGAATGCGTATCTGCTTGAACAACACATTAATAATAATTTTATATAGCGCCTTTAAAGGTGGCTTCTCAAATCGCTTTACAGAAAGGTGAACATTAGTTTACAGTAGATGTAATGGTTGAATTAACATTCTAAGAGAGATATTTCAAAAGTTGCACATTTGTGCTATTGCTAAAATCTTATAGTAGCACTTTTCATATTTCCTCTGCACTGTGGGGAACGTCTGTCGTTTATGGGGAAAGTTTATACTGCAACATATTCGTCGCTCTGTGGAATTGAATGGAGATTTTTTCTCTTTCCTTAAATGTGATGACTAAATGCAAAAAAAATGCATTCCCTCCTATTTCATTAAAAAAATTAAAATGTATGTCATGAAAACGTATCTGTTTTTCATAGACTGTTCATCTTAGTGCCACATCAGTGGGCTTCAGAACTATAAGCTCTATGAATTTCCCTTTCCATGATTATTTCTTGGAATCTGCTTTTACGCATGTAAGAGCCTACAGTATTGTTTAGCAGAATGTAATTTGTCATGGAAAGTAACAATTTTACCCTTAAATACTACCTTAAAATTGGAAGAAGATGCAGAAAATAAGTTTAGCAGGCTATGTATTCATGAAGAATAAACTAAACTGTACCTTTAATTGGGAAGTTCATTATATTAGATATCTTTGTAGTTGAAGTGAGTAATGCAGATTCTATGGGGCTTAATGAATGCCAGCTTTAATCCTACAGAACCCCGTGTGTGTTGGTCTTGAAGCGTTCGGTAGACGTTTCTGTACTGTGCAGAGAGAACATGCTGTTCTGTAGAGGTGGGGTGGTCAGATGAAGGGAACTCATGTTGTCCAGCTGCAGGATCGGCTGATGGGACGTTCACGGGGGCCCATGATGTCGGACACTGTGTCCCTGCCTTCGTACACCGACTACCCTTCCGAACGGCCCTTTCTCAACTCCAGCCTTCGCCGGTCTCCTAACAAGCCTGTTAAAGCCTACCCTGAGAGTAGTAGTGCAGGTACTCTCGTCTTTTCTCAGTGCATTCTAGGGGCTCATCATCAACTGTTAAATGAATGCTGTCGTCCTTAGCCTGGGGTGCGCAATATGTTTTACAAGGTAAACATTGAGAACACTAAGTACAGGCACATATGTATGACTACTTTGTTTCATCAGTAAACTTAAAAAAAAGTGTGGTTTTTCAGGTATTCTTCAATATAGAACTATATAAATTAGAACTATATGATTCTCTCTTTCTATAGTTATGGTATATCTAAGGTTTAAAGAACTGACCTACTTCAATGATTTTTGATAAGGGGTGCAGGCTGCAGTAAAGGTTAAGAACCACTACTCTAATGCTTCTGTTTTGACCCCTCATCATAATTATCTGTTCAGATCTCAAAGATAAAGAATGGTTTCACAGTGCATTTTGGGAATGTACTGAATCACACAGATGGTAAACAGTCATTGTTCTTATTTGGCTTTTGTTTGGATTTTATACATTGAAAGTGAAGTCTACTGGTGAATCTGTGACATTCAAGGAGTTCAACAACCTTATGCACTACCTATGTAGTGCAGAGTAATTTCTGAACAATAGAAAGTCCAGCTCAGTGTACAATTAAATTAAAGGCTCAGCTTGTCATGATGACATAAATATTTCAGACTTTTCTTACCAGGGAACAATGCTCAGTTACTAATTATTGATGAAAAAGCTCTTCTGCTATGCACATCACATGCATGCTGAAATGTTAAAGGTCAAAGTATGAAGGCAGTTGGAGATGACTTTAATTTAGCTACTAACTAGTTCTCAGTCCTGACATATACAGTATTCTTCAAGTATTCCAGTGACAAAAATTAAAACTTTGCTTAGAACTATTGATCTATTATTTGGTAACTGGCAAGAATGACAAGTGTGCAACCTTATCCCCTTTAGGGTATAAAATGAGGTGGGGTACCCTTTTATGTTAAATGTGTGAAGTGCAGTACAGTAATAGATGCGTAGTTTATGAAGAGATGTCTGAATAACTTTAATAGGAAATTATTCATAAGATCTGCTATGAGCCAGCCCTTTTCCAGTTCGCTAGTCTCCGGCCAGGGCCGATCCAGCAACAAGGCATTGGGCATTCATCAAAAAAAAATCTTTTGCTATCTTTTTAGTATTGGTAGGGACAATTAAACATCCTAAGGCAGTTCCTTGGATTGCTGGACATGTTATTGTTCACAGAAAGGTCTCATAGGGTTGAAGTGCAGTTTAGTAAGTTGCACTACAAGAATATGGTGGTCTGTTCTGTGCAAGTTACCCAGAAGAACATTGAAACGGTCTTGTGCTGCAACTGTTGACCCACTCAAGCTTTGAGTGCAGCGCTGCACACGTGTGCTTTTTCTGCTTTCGAAGGACAGGCTGAGTCAAGCCTGTGAAATGCTGCCTGCCCTCCCTGTTCACGCGTGGGTTCTCCACACCTCTGGTGTTTTGCCTAGCGATCCTGTCTGCGCTGAAGAACCTGCAGGAGAAGATTCGGCGACTGGAGCTGGAGCGGGCCCAGGCGGAGGAGAACCTGCAGCACCTCTCCCGGGAGACCTCCCGGTACAAGAGGGTGCTGGAGCACGAGAGAGAGACCGCTGACAGCAGCCACACTCAGGCCACACGTCACAACCAGGGTGGGTGACAAAAAAACCCCCATCCATCTCCCTTATTGCAGTCTACATAAAGTGTGAAGAGGAGAATGGGCTAGTAAGTCCATTGCAGCTATTCTATACACTGAATAATGCTGTCACACCATCTGTCATCATTTTTCGTAGATCCTAGTGTAGCATCTCAGCACTTTTCAATTCGCTGGTTTTGTTAGGATATCTCTCCCCCGAAAGGCCGTAAAAAGGTTAAAATAACTTATTTTCTTGTGAATGAGTCTGTGGCGTGTATTATCAAATGCCAACAAAATGCCAAGAAAGTTAAGATCTTTCCCAAAGAACCGAGTAAAACCTAAAAGGGCCGAGTATGTTCAGATGCTTGCTGATCTACAATGATATCATGTATTACCTGTATATCCGATTGATTGCGATGAATGCAAACAAGCCGAACAAGTGCTCTGAACTTTAACGTGTGTAAAAAATAAATGTATAAGTTATTCACACATAATGGAAAATATATAGCTCCTATTGTGTACAGCAGGGGAAAAAAATGAACATTTTGAAAACCGTAGGTTACTAAAGTGTATTTGTTCTCAATAGAAACTATTATGTAGCTGTCGTAATTGTATTGCAGCTGGGAGAGTTTTTTAAATGCGTAATGATTTTGTAATAGTTGTTTGTGGCCCTTTCGGTTGTCCTGTTGCTCAGAGCTGGTGACGCAGCTGGCAGCAGCTGAATCTCGCTGTAACCTTCTGGAAAAACAGCTGGAGTACATGAGGAAAATGGTTCGCAATGCAGAGACGGAGAGAACAGCTGTGCTGAAGAAACAGGTAGCTGTAATAATGCAGAAAATAGACATCATATTCTCCCTAAATAACTGTTATTTTATGTAACAGATTTGGAAACATGGTGTGAATGTGATAGCCTTCAAAATATGTTTAAATCATAGTTTACCATTTACATTTGACTTTGAAACTGCATTCCTTTCGCAGGCATCTTTAGAAAGAGAGAGGTCTGCTGACCACTCAGATGTTCAGTCCAAGTTTGAGAAGTTGGACCTCCTGGAACAGGAGTACCTGAAGCTGACTGAAACTCAGAACCTGGCAGAGGTATAACCTCTATACTGACCCCCTTCACATCTTATGTAATTGAGTCCATGATTAAAATAAAAGGGGAAGTTATTTAAGACTGTTTTTCATACAGTGGCTCAACATGGTTCATTATATACATTATATGCAATATTTATTGTATTGTTCATAAGTTATATTTATAAGTTCTAAGTTCGTAGGGTGATATTATCTATGTCTAAAAATAGGATATTATTCTATTATCACTGTATTTTTCTGTAAATAAAAAAGGACCGGGGTGGCACGATGGTACAGTATTGGGGCCTTGGGTTCAATTCTGGACTTGAATTGAGTTTGTACTGTATGTTCTCCCCATGTGTGCAACATGGAGCAACAGTTGCTCCAGTTTCTTCCCACAGTCCAAAGACATACTGGTAGGTTAATTGGTTTCTGGGAAGATCAG